TCTATCCTTTTTCGGGTTTTGAATTATTGACGGCGTGGGATAAAGTTAACGACTTTTACTATGGAAAATTACCATAAAGCTTTTCCATAGAAATTCTACTCATGGCAGTTCAGTAAATGTCTAATTTAGAATTGACAAAGTTGATAATTGTTATACTACGTTTGCATTTGTATGTTAAACTTTATCATTTTTTCGCAAGCATGACTAAGAAGAAACTATATTTTTTTGTCTTTATCAACTTGTTCAATTTGAAAATTTGATTATAGCGCCTAACTCAAAATGGTTGCGTCCGCTACCGTAAAGTGCATTGCTATGAAAGTAGCTATGTAGACAAAGACATAATTTTAGATAAATTTATGATTTATATAGAAAAATAGTAACAATTTCATAAAATATATAAAAATAATAAATGAATAGTATTGACCTCGAAATTTGTACCTCCAATGTGGCCACACATCCCAAGGCTTCTTGCGTTCACGTAAGCCTGTTCTTGCACACTAGGACAAATCGTAACCACACGCGGCCTTCTTCGGTGGTGGTGAAGGCGGTCATGTGTATTACGACGGTCAATTCAATTGACAATTCAAGTATTTGAGTGTGGAGGTATTTTAGACACGACCCTCTTATTTCAAAAAGGTTGAAAGAGAGTGTGTGTGTGAGAGAGAGAGAGAGATTCTAAATTTGCATTACCTTAGAATGACATAAAGTAAGCTTCTATAGTAGAAGGGGATAAGTGGGAGCCGTTACATATGGAGGCACGTGGCCTCATCCACAAGGCCAATGCATCCTATCATGTGCATCAATCAATCGAGTGCAATTGTTATGACATTTTCGCTGCCCCTAAATTTGACGCATATGACTTAAATTTGACATGTTGACTTAATATGGTGGATCTAGCAGTCAGTTATCACATCAATTATTCGTTGAAGATACAGTTCAAAAGATCCTCTACAAGGTCCCTACCTACATCACCTCGTCCACGAGGGTTCAACCTTACGTATGGGGTCCGTTCCAACAAATGAGTTCGACCTTTTCATAGGAGTTTGGCCTCCTCATAGGGTTCAACCAAAAAAATGCCATGTAGGTAGAATGATGTAGAGTGTGGGACCAGGTTAGTTTGCCATGTAGCTACTATGGACGTACTTGGAGCTTCACTGAAATAGTGGTAAAAAATAGCAATTATGAATTTGTGATTAAAATTAATATTTAATCATGATTGAATTAACAATTCATTTATAAATTTATAGCCAAAATGATGCTTAGATTTTTTTTTTTTTTTTTTCCCTTTAAGTTTGTAAGATGCACAATCAGTTCTGAAGTTTGCAAGTGACGCGATCACAGACTTATAATTAAGAATTAATCTACATGTACAGTCTGTGTAGATCTTTGATGACATTTCATAGGTGTCAAAATCGAGATATTGATTATTTTAAGTGTTGGACAAATCGATTGTAGAATTGTGTGTCACATGGTAGAATGTAAACCAAAATATAAGTGTAACAAAACTCTATAATTAATTGTTGCTTAGCATATTGCATTTAATAGATCATCTATATATCTTTTGCCAATTTAAAGGATGTTTTTAGAAGATAACTCCTTTTGTCAAGTCAGAGGCAAAAAATTTAGGAAAAAACGCACAAACAATTAAATATAATGACTTTATTTTTATCTTTGTTTGTGTTGCTTAATTAAAACCGACACTCCAAAATTTTGTACCTTAAAAATTAGGTATGTAAATCAATGCTCCTGCGGCGAATGCGTGAGTTGTGTTAGGCAATGAGCGAAAGTTTATTTTTATTTTTTCGATAGTTATTTTCATTGAAATTAGGTGTAACTTGTTGACCCAAAAAAATGTACAAATGATGTGGCCAACACCTCTCACGTCCACGCAACCTGAATTCCTTCACACTTGGACAAACCGTTAATTACATGTAGCCTTCTCCGGAGAAGATGAAGTTAGCTGCGCGCGTTCCGACGGTCGAGTCAGTTAGAGAAATAGTTTAGAGTGTGGGAGAGTTTTAAACGTGACCCTCCAATCAATAAAAAGTGGGTCAGCTTGGGAGTCAATAACTAAAAAATGTGTATAGTAAGAATATAACTTTGAGAGCCCAAAAAATGTATCAATGATGTGGTCAACAGATCCCAAGGCCCCTTACGTCCATGCAAACTAAATTCATTCACACTTGGACAAACCATTAGTTACATGTAGCCTTCTCTGGAGGGGGTGAAGTTAGCCGCGCGCATTCCGACGATCAAGTCAGTTAGGGAAATAGTTTAGAGTGTGGGAGAGTTTTGAACGTGAGCCTCCAATCAATAAAAAGAGAGTCGGCTAGGGAGTCAATAACTAAAAAATGTGTGTAGCAAGAATATAACTTTTAGAGTCTAAACTTGCATATCTCTGAAATGACATTAAGTGTGAGCTTTTATATTTAGGCAAAATGAACGGGGTCCATTGGATGGTATTGCACGTGGCCTCGTCCAAATGATTTCCCTTTCTCATCATACACATCAATCAATCCCCGCCTTAAATGCTAATACCACTTTTGTTTCCGTAAAGTCTAGCTTTGTACTTTTGGACTCGACCAAATAGGATGACGGCGACGGTAGTGGCAGTGAGTTGTCTTGTCAACTAACTTGGTGAGATTCATTCAAGATCTCGTCACTACCTCGTCCTGGATCGGCTCTGCCAATGGGGTCTGCTTGTAGAGGGGTTTGTCCAGGTGCTTTATGTGAGAGAGGCGGGTCATTCGCACCTGGATCGGCTCGCCCGCGTATGAGGCATGAGCCCCTGAACTGTTTGCCGTGTAGACCACTGGGGCCCCTTCTTGAGTCCTAGTCTTTAAAGGCTTAACATAACCTATTTTACACCTCGTGATATTAGAGGTGCAAAAGTCGTTCAATTTTAATAGTAACTTCAACATGATGTAACAAAGTTGAAAAGATGAGAATTAAATTTCACAAATTAAATGTTAATAAGTGACTTAATACATATTCTGGGGACCTCCGATGCATTTTTATAGAAAAGAATATTTCATTCTATCAAAATCTTCATATTAATTCTTCATCCTTACCTGCGATCCACGGCCTTCACGAGCGAGCACAATATAATAATACTTCACCATCTCCATTGACATTGTTCAAAGTAACATAACAAATATCAAGCTCGGGTTCTGTGCTTGAGTTCTTTTAACTTCTTGATTCTATTATCAATACATGTGAAAAAGGATGGCAAGAAGTGTGTCTAAATCTAAGTAAGAAAAAGAGGGAATGAATATATAGGTTATTTATGTGTAAATTAGAATTGGCATATTTTTTACATTCTAGACATTTTCATGGAATAGGTTACGGTGGTCTTCATGATAAGAGTGAAAAATTACTAGTGTTGCTCTTAGAAAATGACGTGGTATTTTTCAACTCAAGGAAATTAATAAACAACCAAAAGAAAAAAAACTTTTATCGATCTTGCGTGAGGTTGGATTTTGGTTACAACTAGGAGTTGAGTTTTTGCTTGTGTGTGTGGGGTTGGGTTCGGTTGAATTGGGAGGTGGATATTCATACATCGAGTGAAAGGAATGTGCCTTCTATTATAGGCGAATGGTAAGAGGGCGTCTCCCTAGTCATATCAAATTACAATAACTCTACGTTAGGAAGTGTGGAGCAATGACATTGGCGCTTGGTAGATTGAGGCAACGACAGTGTCGCAACGACTGCCTACAATCTAAGCTAATGGTGTAGGCTGTGTAATCAGCCTTCTTCTTGACCAATTGGGAGGTATTACAGTCATAGGTGATAAATCGTTCTACTAATAATGACGATCTTGCTAATTTTACCTTAATGATGCTTTTAATCCCTCTATAAAACATTTTTGGGACTCAACTTGCACGTTTGTCTTCCTAATTCGTGCTGGCATCAACATTAATTTATTCTTGGTCGCCATGGCCCCTCGTGGGTGAGTTGGCTTGATGCGACGTCGTGAGTCCATATAGGATGTCAGCAACTATAAATTTGACTAAGGCCCCGTTCGGGAGGGATTAAAAGCCAATTAAAATTGAAAATATGGCCGTTATTGAGTCTCACTCGTCTAATAAAAGTCAACAATAATGGCTATATTTTCAATTTTAATCAGATTTTAATCCCTCCCATACAAGGCCTAATTCTTGAAAGACAGACTAGGGAGGTAATGTCCTCAATTAACATTAGTGCTGTCATTATATTATTCTTATCATTGTAATAATGCTCCGGGATAAGTTAATTATTCAATGCATGCCCAATGACCTTTGAAAAAAGAGAGGCCTAAATATGCATCCTTCTATTTTCCACTATAAAAATAATTTTAATATTAGGGTGTGTTCGATAGATATTATTGAGAAAATAATGTATTTTAAATAGTGATATGATGTGAAATACGTGGTTAAAAAGTAAGTAAAAGGTATTGATGTAATTGAAAATATTATTTTATTGAAAAATATGTGGTTAAAAATAAATTTTGAAAAACATATATTTTTAAAAAATATGCGTCAAACAGGGACTTAGAATACAACGTGCAATGAGTCAAAAAGACTTGTTAAAATTAATGTTATCTATTCAAAATATCTAGATTACTTTGCATGTACTTATAATAACCTTATAAACCACTTGCATAAACACTAGTCTTGCAAAATAACCAACTATTTCAATATAGATTTGATTTCTCACCAACCTGCACATTCAGATTATTTTCTGTCAATGGCGACTAAAGCAGTGTATAATTTGATTGGAAGTATAAAGAATGGGTAAAATGACAAAAGTCCAACAAAATCACTCAAAGAACCTCTGAAATGTAATTCTAAAACAGCAAAACATATTCACATTCATAGTAAATTTGGAGTCGAGTAACACAATTATTTGAACAAATAAAGATACAGGAGTTTAAAAACCTCGATCAGGGTAACTAACTTATTTTGTACAATAACTGCACAAAATAGTACTCAGCTAGAGTGAAATACATGTAAATCATGAGACTATTGGCTATTTGAAAAGACTGCTCTCCTTGATTCGATTTCTTTAACACTTAGAACAATGTCATCGATATTTCTTGAGAGGTGTTTTGAATGCTCTTCCATGTCTTTTAGAACACTCTTGAGCTGATCTTGAAGAGCTGCAGATCGTTTTCTCTCCCTCTGCAACTCTGCTGTCAATTCCCGAATCTTTACATCTTTCTCGTCCTGAATTTGGCAACCAAAAATGGGTAAAATGGAAACGTGCCATATAATAAGGTTGCACTATTAACCGAACCAAAATGAACAACATTTGAAAAAGTAATTTTCACTTTTCACCAGTTAGAAAAATAATATGGAAGTGTATGGACATATTCATAACAAATTTGTATCCTAAGGAATGAACATTTTTGCATTAACTAAACACTGGAAAATCTATATTAGTTATAAGCTTGCATATATGTATGAGGCAACATGAAGACTTCATCAGATATTTAAGGAAACCCAATTAAAGTTCAGATCTTAGATATCTCAATACTTGGAAACACGTTCGTAATGCTAAACATTCCTGGTAGACCTGAACCCTAAAAAGCAATGAGTGCTGAGTTACAAAAATAACTTTTTTATATGCACTATAGCAGTTATCTATAGCAGACGGGTTATGCGGGTCCAATTATTTATTTCCATAAAGCCTCAAAAATTAGGAAGTCCAGCTGTAGAAATGCCAACAATTAGATATCACTAGTTCCCCCTCCACTAAGAATAAAGGAAACCAAGTTAGCTGTTCAGCACTTACGGGCACCAGAAAATCAATAGCTTGCAACTTTGCATCTTTTGAATAACTAATAGATATTCCCGTATTCTGGTAAACAGACCAACACGGTACTCAAAAGGCAAAAAACGCCATTTTATCTATATTTTTTCCAATTAAACAAGTGTGATTCTCTTATTTATTGCAGGAATTACTAATTCCTAGACACCCTTCAAATAGCCTTCTGCATTTCCATGCAAAGTACTTAATGAAAACAGAAACTTCCTGTACTACCAAAAAAATAAAAATATATTCAGAAATCATGACGTAGTAAAGTATGATTGGTTAATAGGGATCGCATTCCTAGTTTAGAGAGATTGCAACCCACAAATATGCACACTTAGGTATAAACTCAGAAAGTTGACACTGTTTTGCTGTAAATTAGGAGTTCTTTTAAGTTTGGAAGGTTTTCAGTTTGTTCATTCTGTAAGTAGTTAGTCAAGTTGGATTTTGACATAGATATATTGGACCACTGTTGTTGAAAAATTCAAACATTAAATATTGATCTTCGGTATTAGTGAAATTTCTTTCTAATTGTATCTTAAAGTCTTCTCCCAGCTATTGTTCTCTCCTCTCTTTCTCTGTACCATCCTACATCAATTGGTCTCTTGATAGGGCCCCAGTGGTTTCACAGTCACAGATGCCAGGCGTGCAACAAGGCAAAGCTGTTGGATGGTCACCTGCTCATCCACATTGCCACATAAGTATTACATTTAGTTGATTTGTTGGGGGTAATTGAGGGAAACTTCCAAAATAGTAATGTGGCACCCCAAAAATGTAAACTAAAGGGGAGGGTGTTCTATTTCATTCCATGGAATATACTTGTTTACAGTATGAACGTTGATAGAGTCTGCATTGTGAAATGAAACATAATGTACCCTTGCCCTTTTATTTATATTTTTGACGACTCAATATTAGTGTGGAAGTTTCCCCTCAATCCCCCTACCCCCNAAGTAGAAGCAGCACCTTGTACACGAAGTTTCAAGTGGAGGAGATCGGGCGAGGTGTCTCAGTTGGAGATGGTATTGCACGTGTTTATGGAGTGAACGAGATTCTAGCTGGGGAAATGGTTGAATTTGCCAGCGGTGTAACCAGCCAAGAATTGCAGTGCAGTTCTAACTGCATTTGTAAAAGTAGCACTCTCCCCCAACTATCACCATAAGCTCTCTCTCTCTCAAAGCTTGACCATCCAACAGCTTCGTCTCGCTCCCTCTATTTCATATGTTTGGCATAAATGAAATGACTAAGAATCTATCAAAACATTTCCAAATTGTTATTTTAGGAATTTGCATTCTTGGTAGGATTTTTACATTGTAGCTTGCAGGGCAAATTATTGTTGAATAATTATGATATTCAGTATTGCTAAAAGCTTTTTTTGGCACATATTTTTCCATGGTTTCCAGCTTTGGAGTCTGCTTGCAGAATATCTCACTTTAACAACCTTTTTATGCAGATAAGAAATTTTAATAGAAATTTGAAATAATAACTAATTAAACCTGATTCTAGACTCAACCTCATTATTCAGAATAAACTTCAGGTTGAGTAAAAGCTTAAAATTACCTATCCCAAATTTCAAAATGAAATAATTCAATTGTGTACACCAATTCTTCAGAGGCAAGAATAAATTAAATGACTGCTGAAGTGAAGGTCCTAAACAAGATGCCAAACACTAAAAGCACATATTTATGACAGAGGCTGTTCATCAAATGTCAGGGATATTTAAAATACTTACCGATGTTTGAGATAGAAGTGCACTTCGACGGGTGTTAGCCGCTGCAACAACCAATGGATGATTATGTTCCTTAAAAAACTTTGTCACACTCCAGTTTCCTGTCTTCTCTCTCTTTACAACTATCATAGCCTTACATCCTTCCCTAGTTATCGCCCTTGGCTTCCTATTTTCACTCAGTCGAGGTCTACACTTGCGAAAACCTTCTTTATTACAAACAAGTCTACGCCATACCACTTTCCCATCACGCATAGATCGTCGAAATGCATCAACTCGCATAATAAATCCAAGACGAGTGGCATAAGAATCATAAAAGACCTTGGCAGCATCTTCAGAATCAAATTCCATGCCAACACGTGGCTCAATATCTGAATACTCTTCATTACCAACTTGCAAAACCTTTCCATTGGAATTTTCTACAAATTCCGTTTCATCACGATCACTGGAGTTTTCATTCACTGTCATTAAAAAAAATTGCAATTTGTAACAAAGTTTTAGGAATATAACCTCTTCCCCCTTTCCCAAAACTAATAAAAAGGAAAATTGACCACTTTTGCTTAAGAAAAAATGTAATTTCAATAATTTGTAAAAACTGTAAAATCTCCACTCCAGTAAACACTTCGGGCATAACAGACAAGATGAACCTGAATCAGCATCATGCAGCAAAAGTAAATGCCAAATTGTCTAACTCTTTTATGGTTAGACAATTAAGATGGTCTTCAAAATTGGTTCTCCTTGAAATGCATGGTCCAAATCAAGAAAGAGCTGAAAGAGCCAGGGTAGCCCATTGACAAACTACAAATATTGCACGAGAAATTTTGAAAAGCCATTTTTTCTGTGCTTGAATATAGCTACTCCTATTAAAAGTAATGTTTCCTCTATATATGCGCTACACACTGATGAAGTACCTAAATGTCAATTCAATAGACCTTAAACCTTCAATTTTTGCCTTCTCAATATCAATATCTCGGCAACCAATACAGGCAATTCTATAAATAATATAAATGACATTCACAGATTTCTATGATTCCTTCTCATTCAGGAATTCTCCAAATTGACAGCTGAATTTTACAAATCCTAATACTCGATTAATAAAGCACTAAATTGCGATTAGCGCCTTAGCGATAAAATAAAAAAGTTAAGCAGATTAATATTGTAAGTTTGAACTCGGCAAAAAGTTAATATGAAGAAAATAAAAGACTTACTAGATTCTTGCAAATTGAAGCCCAACAGCCACCCGAATTCTCGTCAGTCAGTGAGCTTCCACTATTTTGGTGGCGAGAGACGTGGCCGTTCCGGGGGTGGGAGTGGTGGAGGTGTTAATGGGAAGAAGGTTAACGTTAAATGCGTTTACGGCAATGTGCAGTTAAAGCGTGTTTGCCTGCAGCAGCATGATGTTCTTGCTTAAAGAAAAAAGATAAATTGCAATCGTGTTTTGGTTTTTTTAATAATTATAAATTATATTTATTTTTCAAAAATGACCAAATTTTAAATTTTGAATGCCTAACGAGTTTTGGTTGAGTTTAAAAAAGAATTATATTTTATTAGAACATACACTTACACAACTTGAATTCATCTAAAGTACTAACAATAATATAATATTCACTCTCGTAATGACTATTACTCACGAGTTTAAATCCCCTGCCAACATTTCTTCGGTCGTGCCCGTCACATCGGGTTTGCCTAGTGCGATTTACCTCTCTCATATGATTTGTGAGTTACTGTACATGGATCGGGGTTTACCTAGTGCGCACTCACAGTGATNTCATATTTTCTCCAATTTTCAATTCAAATTAGTATTCGATCACTAATTAATGATTTGTTGATTAAATAAAATATTCGATATTCTTATAAAGAATCAACAAATTTTTTACAGTATTCATTTTGATTCAATGTAATTATTATATATATATATATATATATACTCTCCTAATGATTATTGCTCACGACAACTTCTCTCCAACTTCTCTCCAACTTCATTCATCACTCTTCTCACCGGTGAAAATGAATATTTTACAATAAAGTAGAGCAAAACGATAATTACATTGATTCAAAATGAATACCGTAAAAAATTTGTTGATTCTTTATAAGAATATCGAATATTTTATTTAATCAACAAATCATTAATTAGTGATCGAATACTAATTTGAATTGAAAATTGGAGAAAATATGAACTATTAATATTTTATTTCAATTCAAAAAATATAATTAACCACTAATCCTGATTTATTACTAATTATAATTAATAATTAATCTTATTAGCAACGAACATCTAAATAGTAACAAAAAATTAAAAGTTCTAATAGGAATTAAAATTCCAAATTTATTTAATAAAAAAACAATAACTAAAAAAAATTGAAAATTCAATCTTTATGGGTGACTCACAAATCTTTCCCTTGAATCATGCACGGACAATAATAAAAAATTAACAAGAAGAAAATGTCAATTTTCATTCTTTAAGAAGGTTTGGAAACACTCGTAGCGAAGTTATACGTACAAAACTGAAGCTTATGGTAAAACGAAACAGCATTCAACTTGGAGTTGGAACATCTCAAAGACACTTCTTTAAATTCCAAGAGTAAGCACCGACATTTCTCGATTCGCGTCAATTGTTTCCTCTTTCAATATCATTTCTGTTCATAATACAGACACGTACTGTAACTGATATATACATATTTGCCTCCCTTGTTTTTTCCCTGGCGAATTTCAGTCAAAATTGGAGGTGGGTTTTAATGGGTTGGGTAACTCTCTTCTGTTACGTGTTCTAAGAGTTGGGTTCGCGTGATTTTTGAATTTTGACATGAAATGTCTTGTAAACGTTGATTGCTTGTTTAAAGCTATTGTTCGAGCTAGATTCTTTGAGTGTAAAATGTAATTTAATCATGTATATATCCATGTTTTTCTCTCATGTTTTTCGTGGTGAATTTTAGTCAAAAATTAGGTGTGGACTTTTATAGGTTAGGTAATTCTTCTCTATTATGCATTCTAAGAGTTGAATTCGTGTGATTTTTGAATTTTAGCATGAAATGTCGGGGAAATGTTGATTACTTGTTTAAATTTACTGTTATTACTAATTTTAACCTGCCCCTCCTGTGCATACGATTGCTGCTGTCTCAATGCATTTGGCTACTCGTTTAGCAGGTAAAGTGTAATCGTCTTGTGCCTAAAATAAGGATTCCTCCGGAAAATGGATTTCATAGAAGAAAGGAATAACTGAAAGGAAAGGAAAATTAATAAAATCGATTTTCCTCACTTTCTCTACCTGTAATTAAAGCAAACGTGAAAATTTTCTATCGATAGTTGAAGTCATGAAATATGAAAAGGAAATGATCAATAAACTAGAAAAGTTTTATACAACGTGTATGTGTAAATATTCATTTCCATAATCTTTTCCTCTTTTGCCATAAGCTGGAGAAGATTTTTTTTTAATGATTTCTTCTATTTTCCATGCTGAAATCTCTTTTTTTAGTTACTAACATTTTTCTGCAATATACCCTGGGAATATGCCTCAAATGTATCATCATCCTGCACAGGGATAGAAGTCTGTTACTGCTATATGGTATATGTCTCAGTAGTCGTGTCGATTAGTATCTGACATTTCTTCCTCCTAATGTAATTTACTCTAGCTTGTTGTCAGTGTAATCTTATGTCGATTTCTAAAGCTAAACTTGAACTTTGTATCATTTTATTGTACCGGAAAATAATACTTTCACTTAGTTGAGCTCACAAAAATGCGCTTCTAATTTTTGCACTTGATTATCTCGCAGTGGAGATACATCAGGAAGACACAATAGCTGACAGCAATGCTGAAGGAAACAATGGTGAGTTAGAAGGGAGTGAAGAGTTTGAAGGTGAAGAGAACTATGGGAAATTGGAAGAAGATGATATTGTTGAAGCCGAGGAAAATACCATTCAGGTGGAAGGTGGTGAAGTTCTTGAACCATATGTGGGAATGGAATTCGAGTCGGAAAGTGCTGCAAGGAGCTTTTACAATGATTATGCTAGGAGGTTAGGATTTGTTGTGCGTATTATGCAACGTCGTCGTTCTGAGATTGATGGTAGAACTCTTGCTCGTCGACTCGGATGTAACAAGCAGGGCTTTTCACCCAGCACTAAAGGGAAAATTGGGCCAGAAAAAAAGCAGCGCCCTAGTGCACGTGAAGGATGCAAGGCAACTATACTCTTTAAGGTGGAGAAATCAGGAAAATGGGTTGTTACAAGATTTGTCAAAGATCATAACCATCCTCTTGTTGTTACTGCTCGCGAATATACTAACACGGTAAGTTTTCAAGACATGCATACAATAAAAAATTGTTCTCTCTCTTTAGTCATTTCTTTGCTTGGTGCTTGTGCTTTATATTTCCCAAGTTAAGAAGATATCTGGGTTTGTTCTGCATACCAATCTCTTGAAAAGGGATGTTTATTGAATCTTCTAAAATATTATCTGTACTATTTTTCTTAAGAATTACCTAGCCCCTGTGTTTTCTCTTCATTCTCTCTTTTAGATATGGATGGTAGTGGTTACTCCTTACAATTTTAGTGAGTACATCTATATAGTGATGCATTTTTATCCACCAAAGGAACAAGAGCAAGATTGGAACAACAGGAAACTTAAATTATCTTAGACTTTATTATTGAATTTACCAGTGTTCAGCCAATCTTGTCATTTACAAACGCTGGCATTGTTATTAGTGATATACTTAGATTTTCCGATAGGAACAAGTCATCTGTAAATTATCAAACTTTGAAGCAAGTCTTGTGTATCGTCCTAAAAGTAATTACTTTGTCATTCCTTTTGTCTCCAGTTTCATGTTCTCTGTTTCTTTTCCATTATTATTGCCCCGAGTTATGATGCACCGACACGGACACGTGTGTCCGACACGTGTCGGATACGCGGACACGCGATTTTTTTAAAAAAAAGTATAGACACGACACATTATCAAAACGTTGATTAAATTTTTAAAAATTCTTTATTTATATAGTATAAATTTAGTTTTATACTCGATATTAATTTTTCTTGTTAAAATCTTTTAAACATGAGTATTTATTTGTTATTTGCTAATAACTTTGAATAACAATATATAATATTTCTAATATAAAAAGAAAAATGATTACGGTAGAGTGTTCGAGAAGTGTCGGTATCGACTCGTGTCCGACACGGATACGCTACCCTAATTTATTTGCTAATAACTTTGAATTAATAATATATAATATTTATAATATAAAAAGAAAAATGATTACGGTGTCTGTATCGACTCGTATCCGACACGTGTCGGATACAGACACGCTACCCTAATTGAAGTGTCTGTGCTATAGAGGCCCCAAGGATGATAGGAAACACTATTTAGTTTGGAGCGATCCAAACTAGGAAAGACAAAATTTGATTTGCTTAACCTTTGATGTTATTTAGTGTTTCATTATGTGTAAATGATGAGTATAAGAAATATGTGACAGCATATATTTTCTTTAATGTTGCCCAATTATTGTGTAATCCATTGGATCATGAATTAATGGTAGATCAGAAATATGGTCCTTAGGCTACTAGGCGTAAATACCACCCGTTTTGAAACACTATATTTCTAGTGTCACTAATTAATAGAGTATGATTTGCTAAGTGGAACTAGCCATAATTAAAGTGCCTGACGATTATGGAGAGCCTTTTTTTAGTTATTTTAATTAAAGATTAATTGTTTCCATCATTGTGAAAGATGCAAGATAAGGCCTTAGGGAAGAAGAAAACAAAATCTTTTCCACAATGATCACAATATGAAATGGATTTACATTTGGAATCTAAGTAAAATGACAGAAGTATCTTTGTATTGTCCATGATTATTGGAAAAATAAGTTACAAATGGCTTCAAATTTCTCATGCCGAATTACATCCAAAGTTCAACACCTACTTTCAGGATGAACAACTAGAAAGAAATAGAAAAAGTAACTCACAATTTCTTCCTCACGTTTTACAGGATGGAACCAAAAATATGTTGTATGATATTTTTTGAATTTATTTGCATCCTTAATTTGACACCATCAATGATTTTGTTTATTTTTTCTCTATGTATGTCCCTAGGGGCCGATAGAAGGGGGTGGGGGTGAACAATCCGACCCACCCTGTCCCAAATATAATTTTGAACCATTTTTTGGTTTTTTTGTACACGGTCCAAGAAATAAAAAATAAAAAATCAACCTACGTAAAAAAATGCAGCCCAAGTCCTAGTCCTAAATCCTAAGCCACCTAATAACTTCTTGACAATGGCACAAAGCGTTCCAATTCCAAAAATTACTCCATCTTTTTCATTCTCTTTCTCTTATTTTTGCAACTAACCGTACTTTGGTAGAATTCATGTTGATTTTATTTTTGTAATTTGAAATTCATTTTTTATAATAGACATTGGTCATTAAATTCTTGTAAATGTGAAGGAAATAAATGTATGTTCAATTTTAAGTGCCACAATGTTTAAATAATCTTTGAAAAATCAAGAATTCTAAAAAAATCAAGAATTCAAACCAAAATAGCACCTAAAGGCTATTGATTTCTCTCTTTTGCAAAGACAAATTGGACCATATGTATTATCCTGTATCATATTGCCTAATTAACTTACCTGTGAATTTATTATATCTAATTTATTACAAATTTTACTCTATTGTTATGATAGATTTCAAATTTGGTTGCTCATGTTGGTTGCTTGACAATATAAGAAATTGTGTCAGGGATGTTTATCCCGATGCTAGAGGTGTTAAATAGGGTGATCCGAGCTGCTTGGCTTGCTTAACAAAAGAGCGACTTGCCATAAATTTTATTCTTTTTTATTGAAATAGTATATTTCTCTCAATTTAACGAGTTGGCTCCCAACGAGCTTGTGAGAAAGATCATTGTTGGGCTCACTACTAGAAAGAGCCTGTTGAGCTTGCTCAATTTGTTCCACTTAACACCCTTACTCAATACACACATGTCTACATGTACAATATACAAGACAGCTTGAAGATCAAATATCGGGTTTTTTGAATCTTTTAGTTATTTTAGGAGAACGGCAAAGCCATACAATTTTGAAAGTTTAATAAATATATGTGAGATATACAAAATAAATCACACGAGGCATGGGAATCTTTAATCGAGATGTGGGTTGTACATTGAGTACAAACACGTTTTACCGGAATTCGGTATGATATGATGACATCTAACATTGCAAAGTTGCCGATTTCAGTGTTTAAGAAATATCGAGAGTTATCAATTCTTGTAATGATCGAGCACATTCACAGCAAGTTGCATAAATTGTTTTATAATAGATGTGCATATTCATAGTTATGTAAAAGCACGCTAATTCCGATAATGCAAAAAATAAAATTTCATGACTCTTGAGATGGCAAAGAAGGTGTAAATGGAGGACCTAGCTTAGGATATGTTGTGAACTTGAATGATAACCAATTTACCCTCAATAAAATAATTATTTCCAATTCACATATTTTGTTCAAAACTAATTTTCAAATGAAGTTCATTGATTAAAACTTTATTTATAAGCAAAAATATTACTTTATAACTAAAAAACTTACTTATAAATAAAAAATTACTTATAAGATAGAATACACTTTTGTGTAAAAATTTGTTTCTAGAGTAAAAATACTTCTAATAGGACAAAATATCACTTATAAAATATAAAAAGTTACTTATAAGTAAAAGATTTACTTACATATAAACAATTATTTAAAGTACAAAATAAACTTATGACTGTAAAATTTACTTATAACTTAAAATTTCAATAATAAGTAAATATTTCAGTTTTTGATTTAAAAATCAACTTGTATGTAAAAAATTACTCATAAGTAAAATATCACTTATGAGTAAAAAAATTCATATAAAAAACTATGCACTGAAAATTTCATGAAAGAACATATATGTAATTTTTTTTTTAAAAAATACAGTACTTTAAAAAAGTCCATAATTGTTACCCAAAACTCCCAAACAGGCCCTGGAAGCTAATCTTAACTCAAACAAAGAGCTTTTAAGTGGTTCTGACAGTGAGACAAAAATACATTTCTTAGTTTTTTAAAAATTATTAAAATGAGTAGTTCTGAGCATTATAATCGAAATTGAAGATTATCTGAAAATCGAATTTGTACTTTTTTATAAATTTTTTTTTTTACAATTTGTTCCCCAGGATCCGATGACCAGGTCTAACAAGTAGCAAATTTACAAGGTTCAGTAGTAAATACTCTAATCAATCAAATTCATTCATTTAAATAATTGAATCATATAAATCTCATCCGTAACCAGTTTTGACCATATTTTGTGCATTCCCTACCCCCACAAACCCTCTTGAGGCGTCAAACACAGAGCTACCGTCGAAATTGAAAACTATTATGCTAGATATTTAATGATATTTGGTAGCATATTTGCAGTAATATTAGGAAAGTGTTGAAATAAATAATTGGTGGTATATTCTTTTTCTTCTATTTTTGCTAGATATTGAAAGATTATTTGTATTGTTAGTTCACGAGTTTTAAAAAAATGTTATTGGGATACAATCACTTAGCAAAATTAATTTGTTAATTGCTAATTTGCAATTGATAATAATTTTTATTTAAATGTATTTTTTGGAGTATTGTTGCTTTGCGTGCATATTAATTTTTAATCATTAGATTGTTGTTAACTTATGAGACCGTTGTTACCTTGCCTGCTTATTTTTTAACTTGATTGTTATTAGCTTATTATTGAATAACTTGTACTGTTGTTGCCTTGTCGACTTAATGTTGGACTGTTGTTGTGTTATCTTTCCATTATTGGTTCGTTATTGCTTTGTCTCTTTTTTTTCACGGTTTTTAGAATTTACAAATGGAATGTCAACCTTCTTCCAAGAGGGAAGACATTATTTTTGTTCTCTGAAAAGATCGGCCAATCTAGTGAAAATGATTGACCAAAAATCAATCTTCATTCTTATCATGCAATATTTCATGAACGAAAACTTGCTGAGATTCTATTGTAAATGAATATTATGTTTCAGAATCTCGACGGGAGCGACTAAAATAAATAGTGTTCTGTAACGATTCTTTTTGTTATATATAATTTTATTACATTGACATAATGTCACCATTTTAGTTTGTATTTATGTTTTTTCTACACTGGGTTCTCTCCATAATTCCTCTATCCTTGTTGTCACTTGTCAGTTCAATGTCACTGTAGTGACTGCCAATTCTCTCTCTCTCTCTCTCTCTCTCTCTCTCTCTTCTTTTTGTGAGTGCATGAGTGTATATATGTGTGTTTATACATGCATATTAATCTGAGAAGTAAATGAATATGGCGTGTTAATTTTAAGTTATTGGTCATCTCTATGGAAGTATGTATCACGAGAACCAGCTTCCACTTTTAATAGTTGCTAAGACTTGATTTTGGAGGCCCAATATGACGAAATTGTCTCAAGACGATGAAATTGTTTTAAGATTTATAAGGACTATCATTTTTCAAATTCTTGGCGAGTCTAAAGGAGAGGCATATTGTGTAGCTTAGAACCAAGCACTGTACGTTGCGCCAACACAAATAATTTACTAAAACGTATATTTGTTATCCTTTCTGGTTAACCGGACCTGCATGACCCAATCATTTACTTGGGAACATTTTGGGTAGGCAAACAATTTTTAACCTGTTATGAAATAATAAATGCTCTTGATAATGATTAAAATAGGCGAGTTAGCAGGTCCTGCGACCAATTATAAAACCTAGTCAGATATGAACTTGTGTGTATGCACTATAAATAATGTGGAAGTAGCCAATAACTTGGAAATGAAAAACTATCTAAGATATGCAGGGAAGGTAATTTGTGGTTGGTGTCAAGTTTGAATGGATGTTAATCACACTGTTCAGATATGAAAATGCCCACATTTGCTAAAAATGTCTGAATGTATAGATACAAATTCAATGGATATAAATTGATCTGTTGAGAGAGAATGAGAGAGGGCTTGTATTAAGTGGAGTGAATTAGTGGAATGTACGGAAACAACGAAGTAATAGGAGATGGGTGGAGACAGAGATGTATAATTATAAATGAATAGCCCGTCCCAAGCCCGATACCTGCGTAAAATTTGTCAAATCTTATAAAGCTAAAGATTTGGTTTCTTTGGATCTTCCACTAGATCTAGCAATGAACCAGAGAAAGCGATACAGAATGGTTCAGTCTGGAACCGAGCCTTTTTGCCCTACCTAAGGATCATAGATTACGAGATTCATATTAGTTCAAATCAACTAGAAATAGGCCCTCTGACCTAATTCTACTTCTCCCGAGGCCATTTTCTGATTTCCTGATTGGGAGAGCATCTGTCTCTCCTTTTATTTTTATTTTTTTATTTTGGGTTGAGGGGAGAGCGTGGGGGTGTGGGGCGTAGAGCAGAATGCAGTGAAAATAAATTGAAATAAGGCAACCTCTTGATAGCAGAGGCAGCCAAGGGAAAAACAGCTTCTTCTCTGTAGAATAGCAAATAGCTAAAAGTTTGAAAAGAAGTGTGGTGATTTTATTATTATTTCATTAAAAACGAAAATTATTTCGGGAGCTACGAGGAGGAAGAAATAGGATTCTGATGAAGAATAAGAGGAAATGATGCTGATATTGAAGTTGGGACCTACCTAATTCCCAATGAACACGGCCATTAATATACATTTCTCCTGCTTGGACTAATAGATCATCTCATAAAAGAGTGTAATAAAGCATCAATTTTAAGTGATTCAATCATAGAACACCAACATTATTTGATTCCAAATCCAAAGTAATGCCTAGTGTACCTTCTTCAAATTCTACTAATTAATCTGCCATTTCTCAGTGATAAAAAATTGAGTTGATTGGGCAAATCCTCTTTCCTCCCAGTTAAGGATGTTGATAAGAAAATGAAAACTGGGAATTCCTCAACTCCTTCATATAACTATATCTGCTTCTATCTATTAGAAAAAGGGGTATTTTTGGATTCAAAATTCATAGGGGATAGGCTTAGTCCATTGTTGTTAATAGGTGAAGAGAGAAAATCAATGGATTTTAGGACAATAGGATATATAAGGAATAGTGGGAGTGGTACATATTCCATTATGATTTGATCCCTTCAGGAACCCACTTAACAGAAAAGTTTGTGTGTTCAGCTAGGGTAGCTAGGGCCATTGCTTAGTGAATCGGCACTGGTAACAGGGATGATATTTGAGAATGTAATCAATGAGGCATAAAATTTACGTGGAGTCAGAATTAAATTTGATATACATCATAATGGGAATTTGCTAGCAGCACATTTGAATACATGGTATGCTGATTGATAAATTAGTATTATTTAAAAAATGTTGTGTTCTGAAAAGCAGCCAGTTTACATAAAATTGAAAACATGGTAGCCGACTCTGAGTTTGAAGATTTTCCTTTTTCTTTTCGTGTCTGTTCTCTTCTGATAGTATCAGGTATGCACTTAGAAATCCTTAACACTTTGTGCACCTTTTATCGGTAGCTTTCCTCATCCATGATGGAAGTGTTTGCTTGAATTAAATGGTTTGATGTTGTTAATTTTGTCAACAAAGCCTTTTCGTGCATTCTGTATATAGGGAAATTTGGTAAAAGTGATCCTAGTAAAGGACCGCTGTTTGTCTTAAATAAGTAGTCCAGTGATCATTAAAAGCATAGTATCTCGAGTCATAAAATAGTAGAGGGCGCTGAAGATAATTGTTCTGTTTCTTTATGCTATGCTATTTTTGTGTTTAGCAAACTCAGTTTCTAAGAATTGTTGTTCTTTTCATTGTGTAGCAAGATAAAGATGAGAAGATTCAACAACTTACTCAAGAGTTGCATAGGCAGGATCAGCTCTGTGCTGCATATAGAGAAAGATTGCTTAGTTTTCTTGCAAGTGTTGATGAACAAGCTGAACAGTTGTCTTTAAAAGTTCAAGCAGTTGTTGACAATGTGAAAAAGGCGGAAGCTGAAGAAGCAAAAGTTTCGTCGTGTAGATAGCCCTTGGAAGGTTTTTCTACAGGTGTTAATATTTGTCTACAGGCCAACTCAGTTTCATTACAGAATTAACCACATTGTGCTCTATTCTTTCGCCTGAAAATGATCAAAGATGTGAGATGTACGCTATTCTTCAATGAATGGTTACTCAAATCGTCTGATTCAGACACGGTCAGATCGCCTTCTGGTTGCTCGTGTCTCCTCAGAGAGAAATATACTGTATTTTTATAAGTTGAGGGAAAACTAGAAATCATTTGTACAAAATTGAACATTACAATGAAATCATGTATCATATCATTTATTAGTATTGCTGAATCACAAGTCGGACAATTTTGGGGTTTTGTTCTTTTTCTCAGTTGGCATATTTTTGTGAACTCCAGTTGGTACACATACACGTGTATTCATGTCGAACATAATACCTACTATTTTAAACAGTTTAAACAACTTTTTATGTAACAAAATTATTTTTCTATATTTTAGAACGGTAAATAATTTTTACGCCAATTTTTTTTTTTTTTATTAATGCATTATAATTTATTTGCATTACTTTTACTTATGACTTGTGTTTTCAACTTCTTTTCATTCCATTCTTATTATCAACCTTTGTCCTTTAAGTATTCTTTTAACTCATTTGTCATTAAAGTTTATTTACATTATATCATTGTTCACTTTGTTGATGAGACACATACCTTGTGTGCTTTTTTTTTATATCAGAATTCTAAAAGAAAAAAAAAATGTAAAGAAACTTCATTCTATACATAATTATTAATTTTATTCTATATATAAATATGGAATTAATAATATTGCATATTCTTTTCTTAAAACCTGTGGAGATTGAAGGGTGTTATTTGAAATTTACTAATACTTATTACGTGCTTGTGTGAAAGTGATTAGTTGAAAAGTGGTTCTTTTAGAGTGTATGATTAAAAAGTATAGTAAGTTACGAGAAAACATGAAAAATAATTATTTTTGAGAATATATAGTTAAAAATAAATACGGGAAAAAGTGATTTACAAGAACTACAATTTCCAAATGTTTTTCTAATGGATATTTTTCCTTTTAGATGTAGCACGCGATTCATGTGGTGACGAGCACGTCAAGAACATTTGACGAGCGAATTGGACATTATTTTTAATAGCATATTAACTAATGGTAGTATGGTCCAACGGTAACAATCTCTAGTGACTAAATGCGTCACAAAGATACTTTAAGAATTATTGGTACATTGATTAACTTTAGCATCGGTTTGTCTACTTTTAATTCAAAATTCTTTAATTCTCGTACTTATTTTTAACCACACATTTACATAATAAAATATTTTCAACGTAAGTTCAAATTATTTATTTATTTTTTAACCATATATTCTCCATAAAATCACTAGTCAAAACTCTATTTCAAAATGATGGTTATCAAACATAGCTTAATGATTAATGACATTAGAAAATAAAATATTTTAAGGATCAATTTGAAAATTTGCACAAACTTCAGTGACCATTTATAAAATGAATCTACGACAAATGGATGGTTGGCTTAGGGCAAAGCATCTTTCCGTGGGAGCAAAACAGGCGATGAAAACCCAACCACCGTTCTGGAAAAAACCGGTTCTGGATCAGTATATTCTGTGGGTGCAATCCTTGAGACCTCATGGACCTCCACCTCTTTCTCTCCCTTTTGATCTCTTTAATCAACGCTTCAGATCTACCGCCATATTCAAATTAAACACGCAAGGAAAATATACAGTGCCCATATTCATAAAAGCTCTCTTTTTATACTCTTCGGCTTATCTCATTTTCAAGGGTTTATACTGAAGTTGGTGAGTGCCCCTTTTCATACAAAGTTACAAACTTATCATATACTTTCAGCTTAAATTTATTTAATTTTTTGTGGGTTTCAGTTTTCGGTTTGGAATTTTATCATTTGTCATAAAATTATGCTCTTGCTCGTTAACTGATAATTTTCTTTCTTTTTGTTGCTATTTTTCTGTGAAAATTGAGTAAATGGACGACAAAACTAGAAAAATGAAATATATAATTCAATGGTTAATCAATTTAAATAAATTTTGTTGCATGGTTGATGCTACAATTATGAAACAGCTAAGCAGCTCTCTTTGCTTTTGTAGCGTGTTTGCTAAACTTGGATTAGACTAGTAAAAATAGTATTAATTAATCAATATGATCTAATACTGCACACTGAAGACTAAACATGCACTTGCACTTGCACTTGGAGTATTGTAAACGAGGAATAAAATGATAATAATGATTATATTAGGAAAAATTTGAACTGTGACTATGAATGTTGTGGATATTAGCTAAACCATTATCAAGGGGCATGCCACATATGTTATTGGAATTTGATATGCTGTAAAGATGAGGAAATATTTTGATTAAAAGGATCCAAGATTATTGAAGGAATTACTAACTAAACTAGTGATTTAAAATATTTTGTGTTATTTTTCTTGTTCGAATACATTCGACATTTTAGTGTCCATTATATTTTTTCTTACATGCAGCACTATATTTATGGACTGGCTCGTTGTATAAATTTGGCTTCGCAATGGAGAGCGCATCAAGTCCATCTTTTGACTTGGACGAGGGAAGAATTTTCCTGCCCATCGAGGGCGACAATGATAATGGATTTCTGGATGACGAGCTCATTTGTAGTATGGAGGAAGATGAAAAATGCGCTGGAGAAACAAATGGGGACTTTTCATTGGCTGAGAAAACTGTTGAGCCCTATATTGGGATGGTGTTCAAATCAAGAGATGAGGCTCGAGAGTCTTATATTACGTATGGAAGGTACACAGGGTTCTCTGTTCGCATCCACCACAACCGCAGATCACGAACTAATAACATGGTCATTGGTCAAGATTTTGTTTGTTCCAGAGAAGGCTACAGAGAAAAGAAATATGTGCACCGAAAAGATAGAGTTCTCCCTATACCACCTATGACTCGAGATGGCTGCCCTGCCATGCTGAGGGTAGCTCTCAGGGATGGAGTTAAGTGGATTGTTACGAAATTTGTAAAAGATCACAATCACACTCTAATGTCACCAAATAAAGTTCCGCTGCGTGGATCAGGGAAAAATCTGATCAGTCAGGTACTTCTGATTTTCTTTATATAACCTGCTACATCCTGGCCTACATTGTTGTTATATAAATTAGGGCTGGACATAGTCCAATTCAGTTTAATTCGGTTGTCAAGAGAACTGAATTGAACTCAAATTTTCGGGTATTTAGTAAATGAGACCATCAGGTCCAAATTTAATTATGGAACCGTTCGGGATCGGTTCGGTTCGGTTCCCGAGTTCCATATAATATATAATTTTTTTATATGACAATAACTCTACATTAATTCGACTATTATATGTTCAATCTTAACTCTTACAAAATAATGTAGTACAATTTCATAATATCTTTTGCATCTCTCTTTGTTGGGTTCTTCGTATATTTTATGTTAAAATCACAAGAAGAGGAAGATGACGAGTTCACAATAATAGAACGTCAAAAACGGCGCTACCTTAGAATAAGAGATTTGGGTAAAACTTAGGTCAATTTGATTTAATTGGACTTGGCTGGAAATTATAAATAGTAAAATCATATTTTGGGTTTGAACTAAATTAATTAGTTAACAAATTTATTTTTAAAAAATAAAATAATTTGACTTATTTAAGATAAAAAATTTAAAAAATTAGGGAGATTCGATTTTTATTTGGTTCTTCGATTCTTGGTCTGGAATCGAGAATTCAACCAAATCCGTTAGTTTTCGGTTTAGATACCCGTTCTGGTGTTTAATTTAAGAAGAACCGCTGAGTTCGTTTCGGTTCAGTTTAAAAGTTTTGTCCAGCCCTATATAAAATCCATGCATTCTTTTCCTCCACATCGTTATTACAGTATTAATGTTAAATGTTCCATTCATTTTTGAAATTTTCCTTTGATATAAAATTTGAACCCTAAATGCATAAAATGAATCTTTTAAGCAGATTTTCTCGGGTAAGAACAAGACCTATATTACACAATCTGTTGAGCCCTCAGCATCCACAGATGTCAGAGTGAAACCAATTGTGCGCATTTTGTTGGATGGAGAATATTTTTGATTTATGTGAGTTAGACATTTGAGTATCTGTCTATAGTCTTGTCGATGAATTTCAATACGTGTATTTGACCTTTAGAGTTGGACAGCTCTAGTACCCAATGTTCCTACATGACTAGAATTCAGTAACAGCGCTCTGGTTTTTGAACTTCCTTTGGTAATTCCCATTCTGTGCCAAGGGGTTACCTCTACCTCTCGATTCAAAACCTTGCTTGTGTACTATGCTTGCTGAGCTTTATAAATTTTCATGATAATCTCTCAGATTTGTTTTATCTGGTCAAGATTAGTAGCATGTTTGGCTAAACTTAAAACGATACTTATCTCGGAAATATGTACATACTTTTGAGAAAAAGTAACTTCGAAGTTACAATTAAACTTAGAGAAACATGCTCTAGGATTTATTTCTACCAATGCCACATTGGACATGGGTGTGGACTGCCTGTAGAGAGTCCACTTCTTTGAGTTTGCAGTTCGTCATGTTAGTCCTTTTTAAGATCAGAACAGAAATCCTCTTGAGAGTGTAAATTGAAATTATTTTTCGGCTTTAATGTATTCACTTTTCATGAAATTTACGTTTCAAGTTTACTCTGGGCATGTTAACCATTTGACATGCTGCCTTAACAAACATCTGGATACCTTATTTGGCTTCTTCTTTGTTGCAAGAAATGGTCAGAATAATGCAAATGGAAGTTATACAGCCTACTAGTTTCCTTTTCTTGACACAAATTGATTGCTTGTGTCAATACTTCATTAGCAACTTCTGTTATCGTGATGTTGAATGTGAAAATATTCTCTTAACTCAAGAACCGAACCAAAAGATCTTGCCAATTTAACATTTATTATTATTATTATTATTTTTATTTTTTTTTGCTTTTACTTTTTGGTGTGATTACTTGAAGAAGGCATTTAATTATT